ACCATGGAGGGGGAAATTTTTTCTAGTGCTCTACGAGATTGTTAATAACTTTGTAATAATTAAATATTTTTTAATAAAAATTTAGCGTAATCATCTTTAATGTACCCTTAATAAAATAAAAAAAATCCGATCCCCAAATTCCTTTATTTTCTCTGTCAAAAAAATTCCCGAAAATCACCTCTTTTTTTCGATCGTCACAGTGGTGTTCCCCCTTAATAGATTTAAAAATAATTGAATAATTAATACGTTTGTTTTAATTTTGTCAATTTTTTATAATCGGCTATAAAAATTTTAATTAATTAAAAAAATCGAGATTTTTTACATTGATTTTTTAATAATCTATTCAACTTTTAATTCCAATTTAAAAATTAATTTTCGATTTGCATTGTTATAAAGTTAATATTTTTATTTAAATAATCATTGTAATACTTTTTAATCTTGTAGTAATAAGATATTGCAGTGAGTCTACATTGAAAAAAAATTTTTTTTTGGCTTGTTACATTAATTTTTTATTACATTTAATTACGTTCCTTGGAAATGAGTTTAAAATTGATTAAAAATTGTTTACGGAAATAAACAGAAAAAATGAATTAATTTATATTAATTACTGTTAAATTAATAAGTTATTTGTTATTGATAAATCATATAATAAAATATGATTACTTGAAAATTGCAGATCAAGAGCATTGAAATGCGAATGCCGAATAAACATTATTTTGATCTTGACATGAGCAAATTTCCGAAGCTTGTGGACGGAGAGAACAAAGAAGTGTATCTGCCAGTTGACAAGCCCTCGGGAATTATTTATGCGCAACTGAATAGAAAAGATCTTACCTCAAGGCTCTAGTCAGTGAAGTCTAATGTTATGTGGTGTAAAACATTAAAAATCGAGTTTTCGACAAAAGAATACAACACAAAGAGAAGATGTGAGAGAGCCCACGTTTCCGGAAAGGAGTAGAGAGGAATCATATCATGGAAATACCTGTTTGAAGAGTGTTATAACTTTTCTACGATACTTTTTTTATTTATTTAAATATCTCTTGGGTAACAGCGGATATTTGTACACTTTTTTATGGTATTGACAGAGTGGTAAAATAGAAATTGTTTTAGTTGTAAGAGCAGTATTTTCTGAATCATGTGTGAATGTATTTTAATTATTAAGCTTTTGTGAGATAATAAATATTTATAATAATAATTAATATCGAGCTAGTGTTAATATTTTAATCACTTCCTTTTGAGATTTGACCGGTCTTTGATTACGAAACATCGTTATGTAAGATCAAAGAACTATCAAAATCAGGCTCATTACAATTCAACAGTTGTATCTGTTGAACTTAATCTGCCTCGTCTACAATTGGATTATTTGAGAACCAGACTTAATTATGTAATTTCAATGAATTTGATTCTTCGATCATTTTATAGTCTGGGATTTATTTAGACCTCTGTTTTCGAGTGAATAGATAACTTTGCTATCATTTGAATATATATTGTTCACTTCGTTTTTAATTTTTTTTATTTTCATTACTGATAACATACATAACTCTTTATTTAGAGATAGCAGGATGTAAATACAGAGGTAGTATGATAAAGGCTCGACTATTACTTTCTTGTTATGTTCTAAAAAAATTAATCTCATATATAAAGTTAGAAAAAATCTTTACTGATAATTTAAATCTGATTATGGTAATCACCGATAAGACCTTTGTGGTAAATTCAGGTACAATTATAAATTTTAGTCGATTTATCTGAAAAGAACAAAAGTTATTTGATTGAAAAAATTTACTTTCAATAATTATTTATTGAATAATATTTTATCAAAAATTGAGCTTCATAAAAAAAGAATTTTTTTAATGAAGCAAAATTTTGAATACCAATACTTTTGATAAAAAATTATATTTTAATTATCTAATATAAAAATTATAACAATAAGTAAGCTAAAAAATAATTCTAATACTTGTAAGCCTCGATAAACGCGCGTAAACTCAAATAAATTAAACGTTACTTATACTCTGCTTAGAATAATAACGGCAGGAAAAATAAAAAAATGAATCACTTAAGCCTAAAGAAAAAAACCTATAACTCATAATACTATACCTTATGTCCCAATTCATATGGAATTTGTTTTTTGTCCATGTCCGATTTCTACATACATCCTTTGACACGCCCGTTTTAACACGGCGACTCATCACTCTACAAACATCATCACACGTCTAAGCCGAAGTGAAACTTGGAAATATTTGACTGCCACAAATACTGAGATGTCATAAGCACAAGACATAAGAGCGCGTCGACTGCATTTGAGTTCAGTGCCGTTTTTTCGTTCCTCGTGATCAGACCGTGTTCTTAAAAATGTCACCGAGGCAAAAAACATCAAAGCTATCAGTGTTGATATCCCTCTCATTAGTTCTTTTAATCAATAACACATACGCATCCGAAGTTATTCTGTCGCGACTAGAGAATTTTGACACTTGCGGAGGAGAATTTACCGGGTACCAGTACACCATAACAAGTCCAAATTACCCCAATAATTATTCAGAGAACCAAGACTGTGTTTACAAGTTACACGGCAGCCCGTTTGCCAAGTGCAATCAAATATTTCACGTGCAGTTTTTAAACTTCACCCTGCGTTCGTCCAAAAATTGCCAGCAAGATTATCTCAGTATTGACGACCGCAGCTTTTTTTGCGGCAGTGTCATTGGAGTGAAAAGTTTCTCCAGTAAAAATAACACCCTGAAACTTCAATTCCACAGTGACAACGGCTCTGACAAAGGATTCAAGCTGCTCATCACAACATTGCCATGTTCAACACTTCCAAATTCTTTGCACAAAGTCGCGTTCAAACAACCGACGACCAAATTTGCGGAATCAGTTACCAACCACCCGAGCATTGATTACGAAAAAGTGTACCCAGTTTACCGACCAAACAACGTATTCAGTACGGAAGATGTTAAATCAATCAATAATATAGGATCATCTCCAAAAGTCACCGCCTACTTTTACCAAGATCCGGAATTTTATTCCGTAGATAAGAGTGAAAAATTGACACCATCCTCACTCGAGTCGCTTCCAAAGCCAGAAAGTGCGTATTACACCAACATACAGAACTTAACCAAGTTGACAAAGTCAAAAAGCAGTGTTGATAATAACAGAAAATTTAATGAAAAGTTAATAGTGCCATACAATTCATACGGTGTACCAGCGGGAAAGCCCTACGCACCATTGCCGGGCTTCTCGCCGGCGCAAATTCAAACGGGTGAAGTGTTGGAAATAGAAAGAGATAACATTGATTGCGATGGTAAAGTCAATATTCCCAATATTGGAGTCCCATTATCTGAACAGCCGTTTGACAACCCACCCGTATTTGACGACAATTATCCTAGTGTTGTTTCACCGGGAATAAATTCATATCCCGCGACAACTTATGGCGCTCCTGGATCACCAATTCCGCCACCACCGGTTGCTAATGTCCCGTTTAACCCCACTGACATTAATTACAACGATAACGGCTTCCGTGACCCATTTTTAATTACTCCGCGACCAAACTTTGATGATAATGTTAATATTAATAATAATAATAATAATAATAATAATAACAATTTCATTCCGTCAACAAACATCGTGGGCGCGCCAGAAGTTCGTCAATGCTGCAACAACCAGTACAACTCCCCAAGGTTTCTGATAACAAGCCCCGGTTTTCCGTCACTGTTCTACTCGTCTAATTACTACGACTGTATTTATACAATAAATCCTCTACCTAATGCATGCAGATTGCGAATTAACTTCAAGTATTTCAACCATGGACTCGACGAGGCTTATTGCCCAAATGGATTCGTTGAAATTGACGGGAGAAAATACTGCGGCTGCAAAACGGGCTTGACTTTAGTGGTTAATGTCTTCAATTATCAGTCCAAATTTATTCGCGTGCGCTACAGCGGGTATCCAAGGACCAAATTTGGTGGGTTTGTCTTTGAAGTCACGCAAGAATTTCCGTCAGGGCCTTACAATAACTACCCATACTTGTCCCGTAGCAAAAAGTCCGCGGAAAATTTGACGAAAACAGAAATTTTGAGCACAGGAAGGACGAAGCGGGAGTTAGGGTACTTTTATCCGAAGCCAAACATTGTTTTCAATGAACACGTACCAGGTCACCGAGAAATAGGCAATGTTGTCCACGGATTTGTATCTCACGCAGCTTGTTTGGCGTTAAATTTCGCGAGCTGGACGTTAGCGAGCAAAGAAGTTTATTCAAGAGGAGCCAGATGTTTTTGGAACAATGGAAATGGACTTCCTGGGGTGATATTGTATCCGAGTGGCGGAAATAATGGTTGTTTGTCTCCGAACAACAATTGTTTGCCTCAAAATAACAATTGTTTGCCACCGAATAACAATTGCTCGCCACAAAATAATTGTTTGCCCCCGAATATTAACTGTTTACCGACGAACAATTTACCTGGGCCTATAAATCCACCGACAAATCCAGGATATTTGCCCCCAGGACCAAATTATCCGAACAATAATGAAAATATCGATGTACCGCCAGTCTCAGTGGTCCCAAATTATCCAAACTCAGGAAACGGAGCCCCTTCTGGGAATTGCAAGCTAGTTAGTGTAAAAGAGGGGATAATATCATCACCGCTGTACCCTTCGGATTATCAAAATAATTTGAACGTTTGCTACCGATTTGTCCGCGCGCCAAACCACTGCAGACTTCAGATATCTATTTTAGACTTTGACTTGGAGAACAGTCTCAATTGCATCAAAGATTTCGTGATTTTTGGGAACCAATTCACTAGATATTGCGGACGATCTGTTGCTGGAAGCAAAAGTAAGAAAATTTTTTCTATTAAAATATTAATGAAGGTCTCCGTCAAAATTTTTTTTTTTATTTTAAAAATAATTCACAAGAAGCGATTTATGTAAATAAAAATTTTTTAATTTTATATCTTTAGTAGTCTCGATGAGATTTTATATGATAAATTTATTCGGCTGACATTTATTAAGAACTGCATATTAAATGTCTAATTTTTAAAAATTAGTTCTTCAAAAACTCTTTGTCAGGTTTTTTTTTCTTAATAATTATTTCATACGTATTTAGTATCGATTAATAACGTATTAGAAATGCAGCATTCCATTTTTACATTGTCGTAATATCCGGTCTACCTTAATATTAAATTAAATAAGAACAATTACAGTAAAAATGTTTAATTGTATTTATTATAATTAAATAATAAAATTGTATTTTTAGCGCTCCTGAGTTTTCCACGTAACGACATAATTGACGTACGATTTGTCACGGATTCATATGGCACAGCAAGAGGGTTCAACATCGCATTCTCACAAGTTTCATGCACGCTTGGATAATCAATGTGTCAATTAATTGGCATGATAATCAAATATATATACTTTTTCGTTATTGATATTATTAAACTTGAGTATGGAAAATGCGGAGAAAATTATAGTACCTAATGAATTAATAGTTTTAATTTTAATAAAAAAATACATTGAAAATTAAATTAAACTTAGAACTTACAAAATCATTTAAAACTGTAATTTTTCAAGCGTTTTTCCGTGCAATTAAGAGTTTATATTTTTTTTAACTTATTTTATACTTAATTATCGTTATAATTGTAACAAATAAATGAAACTAATCAAAAATTCAATAATGCCATTAACGTTTATTATTTAATTGCATAAAGTTAAGTAATTATATTATTTTGTTGAGACATATAAATAAATAATTAGTTATTACGATCATAATTATCATATTTTCATTACTTAACACTTATTGGCACATTTACAGAGGTACGGATTATTTATATTAAATATCATCATCTTATTATAACCATTTTCAATAATTATTTCATTGTCTGTAAAGATATTTTTTTATTTCAGATAGAATTATTTCAGACATACACTGTAGATTTATCAATGACAAAATCCAGTGTAAAATTTAATATAGAAGTTTACAAAAATATTTGTTATTGCACAGTATAATAATAATAAATAAATAAATAAATAAACAACTAATTAATAATAATAACTATTAAAAATAAATAAAATTGATTTGTCTTTGCTGTTAGGTATACTTTTATTTAAAAATAAATAAAAAGATTATTAAAGTTAAATAAACAGATAATTTGAGCTGCAATTATCGAGCTAAAAGAGAAGAGTTCACTCTTCTGATTAAATTAATCAATAATAGATGAACCAATTACTTCCTTCGTCCGAGAAATCGAATGCTGGTGAAGACTTTACTAACAGGTCGACGGCGCTTGCAGAAGTTAACAGTCGCTTGTTTTTCTCCGTTGCGGACTTGGTGAAGAGCTACCAACAGTTGATAGACATCGTTTCGGGAGGGTGTGCATAGGTGCAATGATTCGTAGTCGAGTGAATTTCCAGGCCTGTGATAATTTTTTTTTTTTTATATTTTTTTTTTATTTGTTCAGTAATAACAATAAATTACCTCGAGTGTTGACGCTTCCACGGATAGCGGCGATAATATCTTGATCTCTTGTTAACAGAAGGCATCATGTCAAGCTCACTTGAGTCTTCTACCTCGTCAAGCAGCAGCGGGTCCTCAACGATAACTAACGGTGTATTCCATATCGGCTGGGAGAGAAGTGATGACAAATAGTTTGACAGTTGATTTAATGTCGCTTCATCGAGCTCGTTTGTTTGTAATTCATCTGCAGTAATGAAAAATAAATAATTATTCATTAGTATTATCAACACTACTCTGTGGATATTATTAAATCGATAAATTAGATAAATAAAAAAAAAAGTTGTTCAATATCAATAAATATAGAAATAAAAAAAAAGATCTATTGTTCTGTCTATCAATTGTACGGATATTGAGGCGACTTTAAATTGAATAGTTTTATAATTGAAAAATTAATTTTTTTTTTTAATATTTCCGAGTTATTAATGCCAAAAGAGTGTATAAAAAATTTTTTTTTTACTTCAGTCATTCTAAGAATGTCAGAAATGTGGAAATTTACTGGAAAAATGAGAAATAACATTTTTTTACGCTACGCCCACTCGAATTAAAAAAAAATTCATTTTATAACCGGAAGCTCAAAATGTTTAAAACCAGAAGTTTAATTTTTTAAGTAGAAAGCCAGAAAATGTAAATAAAATTTTTTTATAAACGCCCTTTCAGCTTTCACAATTTTTTTCTTAAAGCCAAAAGGGCGTAATTGAAAAAAAATTTTTCTCATTAATTTTTCTAAAGGATTTCTCTCATTAAAAGTACGTGGCTTCATTAAAATGCTCATCGTTAGCAATTTAAGTATTTTAATTAATTATCATAAAGGACGCATCTTTGATAGTGCGTACTCAGCTATTTAGAGCGAAGCAGGATATTTCTAGATTACATCAATGAAAGCCTAATCAAAGGGACCATTAAAGCTCTGTCAATAAGGTTACCATCAGGCTTGAAGCTCGTATTGTGTTTTTAAGTCTCTTGAATGAACGTTACTACCCGACGCTCGTTATTATATATTATCCGGCTGCAGGATTTATCGTTTTTTCCGCAGCTTGGGTCATAAACACAATATACTTTTCTTTGAAATATTTGACATTTAACCTCAACTTTTTTACAGGAAATAAAAAATGAATTAAAAAAAAGGTCTCTGTGGATGTCCGTATACGGAAAAAACTAAACTAAACTGAATAATAATCGATTTATAATAAATACTATTTAAGTAATAATAAATACTTAAATGTCTAAATTTTAAAATATAATAATTCAAACTTCCATGTTTATCGTTTGTACGTTAAAGATTATAGTATGAAATGTAAAAATTATCAAGAAAGCTTACTAAATTTCTAAAGTAAGAGATTAAAATTGAATACTGCCCACAAGCCGAGTAAAAAAATTGAATTTCTTACATCAAAATATTCTATAACAATAGTTTGACTAATATCGCGTATGTTTCTTTAAGAGATGGATAAACTTTTACATACCTAAATAATCGAATATTGTGTCATCAAGTGGTTCAGTATTAGCAGGGATGCTCCGAAGGTTTTGATCAACTTTATAATTAAATTTGTCCCAGTTTAAATGATCCTTCATGTTTTCAAAAGCTCTTTGTTTAAGTTTTGTAGGCAATTCATTTTTATTATTTATGAACGCATTGTTTTGGTTTCTATTCACCGAAGGTGATAACAGCTCGTTTTGCTCGTACTCCGCAGATTCGCTTAACGATACTCCTACGTTTATTAGAGTCGCGAGCAGAGAAAAACTGAGCCACATCTGAAACACAAAATTTTATTACTGAACATTCAACTAACTCCGAGAATTTTGTGGTGACATTTATTGTGTGTGAGGGTCTGATTGTGGGATTCGATGGCTGGATTGACTGGCAATTGCCGAGAGGAGGGTAGCGAAGATAGTCCATTGATCGTTCCAACTCAAATGTCCTTCTGTATCTGATTCCGTTGATGGACCTTGATCTAGATTTATCTCTCTATCTATTGTAATTTCATTGTTTACGGTTTTTTAATTTCTGTTGCTAGCTTTTTTTTTTTTTGATTATTTATTGAATTATTTTTAGACATTGAGATCATATTTTTTTAATAAATGTCATTTTATTTTACTACAAAAAATGAAAAATTTATAGAATTATTAAATGAAATTTTATTAGAAAAATAATTTTTTTTTAACTTGAACGAAAATTTTCAATCCTAAATATAATTCGATAGATTTTTTTTATTTCTTAAAAATTTTTGAAATTAAAAATTATTAGAAATATAATGAACATAAATATAAGTATCGTTCAAAAAATTATTAAAATGTCTACGATTTTTAAAATTTAATAAATGATTTTGATAGAAACTTTTTGGTCAATTTATTTTTCACTCAAAAAAAAAACATTTCAGATGAATTCAAAATGATAAAGGATAAAATACGATTTAAAAAAAAAATAAACTATTAAAAATTGAACTTTGTGATGAAGTTATAAATTTTCAAATCACATAAGATGAATTTTTGAATACAATAAAAATATAATGTTATATTTTTGTAACTGAAGTAACCACGAAAATAATCATTACAATCTTAATCTTCACGATGATTATGGGTGAGAATTTTTTTCACACTTAAAATATGAATTTATAATTTTTCCTAAATTTAGTTATATTTAAATAAAATTTAATCAAAAATAATTTTAAAAAAAGTAGTGATAATGAAAAATAGAAAAAAAGAGTAATTTGACGGTAAAAAAAAAATTAATTAATTGATTGCAAACTCTTCTACAATTTGCAGAAACGTTTATCGGGTTTCTATTACACTGATCGGAAACTTGTTGCTCGAGAACTTATATAATATCGCTGGACTATATAATTTATCACTGGACGTTATTTACGATCTTTAAGCGGATTATTAGCAATTTGATATTAATAATATGTAATGAGAGTAAACTTTAGTGATCAAATATCAAAATTAAATTTACCTTGAATAAAAGTCAAACCAAAGAAGTGATAGTTGATGAACACTCACTAAATTGTTTATAATTAAAATAGTTCACCAAATTATTTTGAAACTATATTGTATATCAAATAACTTTTGCAAGCAATTATTAGATATTTTCTCGTACAAATAGAGACTATTCACAAATATTAACCGACTCAGTTGAGGTATGTTGAATTTCTGACGTTCTGTCAGCGTCGCGACGCTTTATATAGCGTATCCATACAGCCCTCCGTGGAGGTTGGGGGAAAAGACCGCAGATATTCCATGGGTTAACACGTAAACGTAAATCATGCGTAATGTAACTTTTTTTATTATTAGAAATTATATTTACATTTTTCAACCCTTTAATATATCATCTAAATATAATCTAATAAATAAATAATTATTAAAATATTTCCAGATAATTTATTGAAATTTTACTAAGTTTTTTTATAAAAACAATAATTAATATTTGTAATTTCTATTTTGATGAAAAAATTATCTTGATTTATGAGAAAAAAATCTTGAACTTAAAAATCATTCTGAGGAATTTCACTGTATAGCTGATAAGATTAATTTCCTTTTTTTTTTTACCCCTTCAATCATAGTTTGAAGTTGACTGTACGAAAATTCAAAAAGTTTAGTTGAAAGAAATCTACTTCCACTTACAATACATAAATTTTTCGGTAAAAGTAATTAAATTAAAGGCCACAAGCTTAGAAATAATAGCTCACAAAGACGACATCAGAATCGTCCTGCTAATTATACTAGATAAATATAAATAATACTAAGCTAACCTAACGTCCTAATTAATCTAATTATTGAAGATTAAATATACCACAAAAATTTAGTACAATACTACCATAATCAAACTAATTATTTTCTCTAAATTTCATGTTACAAGTTAACTAAGTGGATTAAAATAATTTTAACTAATCAACAGTTTTCAATTTTGAGGAATATCTGATTAATCATCAAATAATTTACGTAACACATCACAAATGACAATGAAGTTATGCAACAATAACTTCGTGATCATTCATGGGTTACAATAATTAGATCATGTGTGAATAATTTAACAAACATTAATAATTAATTAGGAAATCAGGAATAACTTTTTTAAAAATAAAATTAGTAAAAGTTTTAAAAATTTTTTATTCCAAATTGAGTATTATTTTGTGGCTACATATATTGCCAACAAAATTAACATGACAATTACGTATGAATTATTTGTTACTATTTTAGAATTAAAATAGAATGTAAAATTATCATGGAATAAATTAAACGGAATACAAAATGTGAATATGATTTGTTGAAACTGTACATCAATTACACCTACGAGACTTTACTTATTATATTTCGACGCTGCTGTACGGTAATTAGCGTATGGTTACCATTTGCGACAATAACAGTGACATTTCAATTAATTTACGATAATTATGATTTTGTATCTATTGCGTATGATAATATTGTCTCTTGCATTTTTCTTCGAGAATAAATTTTAAATTTTAATTAATTAATGTAAATTATTTATTCATTAATATTTTTGCTGGTAACAACTTTTTTTTACTTTACAATTTTGTAAGGTATATATAAATTTTTTCAAGCTCAAAGTTCTTGTTTATTCAGAAAAAATTTATTTATATTTAAATTTATTCTGATCTCTTCATTTTTTTAATTAAATGTAAAAATCAACACTCAATATTTTCTCTTGATCTTAAAATAACTTATTCAAATATTAATTAATTAATCAACAAAAAATTTTAGCATACTGAGAAATAAATAATTATATTTATTACAAATTTTCACAAATGTAATTATTATATTCTGAAAATCAAATGAACTAAGCAAGACAAAATTGTGCCGAAAGAAAAACTAAAAAGAAATTTCTACTAAATTTAAATGAAAAATGTAATCCAATTATTTACACGTAAATAATAACAACTTAAATGACGCGTTAATCAACCAAATTTCTTACAAAAAAAATTTAATGAGGTTCTGGCTTAACTGATGCTTGATGCTCCTCAGAAAGTCATGTATAAAATTAATTAAGAAATATGTATCCCTTTAAAGCGCTGTCTAATATTTCCAGGCATTTTCTTGATTTAATAAATAGCGAATTTAATCTTGATGTTTATCTTCATCTGGTAGGTCGTCTAATTGGTTTGTCGTTGCTGACGAGTCCGATACCTTATTAACTTGATCTTCTATGTCATATCGACCGTCGTCCACATACGAGTAGAGAATACCGAGAATATCGTGGGCTTTCGCGTACATTTCTTCGACTTTCTGTGTGAATTAAATTTTTATTAATATCGACAGATTTAATATTAAATCTTTCGGACGGATACTTTTGATTTTATGCATTAAATTATGTAATATAAATAAACAAATACCACTACGAAGTAAATGAAATTGTAAAATCAATACTAAGCATACAAAATGTCAACAGTACCACCAACGCAAGTGGTAAATTAATTAATTGAACTACTGGCCAGTACTCGTTTATTTGAATTACAAGCAGCAAATAGTTTTGTACGCAGTGACGTAAATGTACCTGGGTCTTTCGAAGCTCCTTTATTGCATCGGTTTCGTAATGAAGCCGATCGTATTCTTTTTGCGTTAGTGCGTACCCTTCTTCAATATCTTTAATGGTTTCCAGCTCGAGCTTTGCTGCTACAACTTCTTCTTCAGTCATTGGTACCTTGTAATTTAATTATTGAAAATTAACTAATTAATTTTATATACAAAAATAATTTTCTGTAAATTTTAAGCATTTATGTAAGGCAGTTATAATTAAACGCCAAGACATTTTTCTGATGTAAAGAATGAAAAAATTTTTTACCAATTCAGGAACCCCATCGACGTAAACCCGCTTCATGTAGACTTCTTTATCATCATCGCTAGTTTTTTTGTCGGTCTTTGCGTCAGGATAGAGAATGTGGTACAAGGATGACGCTATTTTACGTTTTTTATACGAATGCTGGAAATAGGTTTAGAGAATGTGAAATTTTATTAGTATATTAAGAATAGATAAAGTATTTGAAGAATAGCTATGAATCTTTATTAGCTGTTTATCAGTGAGACGATAAATGATAAATGTATATTTGATATAAATAGTTAATACCTTCATCCGTTTTTGCTCCACAATAGCATCACAGTAGAGGTACAATTGAAATAGTGGATATTGACGTATTTCAGCCGGAGCTTCATTCACCGATATCAAACGGTTTAGAATCATCATCTTTGTTCGCATCAGTTCATTATTCTGAATAAAAAAAATTTATTTATTTATTATGTTAATGAAAATTTTTAATTCAATGAAAAAAAAAAAAAAAAAAATTAATACACAGAAATAGAAATTCTTGATTAGAATAATTTTTTCAAAATTTAAAATTCTTGTCTCTCTTACAATTAGTTTTTTTTTGTGTAAGTAATTGTACTTATTTAAATATAATATTTTTGTCTGTAATTTAAACATTTAAAAATCCAAATTTTAAATCTAAAACAATATTTTTTGTGCAATACACTCTCCTTTATAAAAAAATAGTATTCCTTCATTCTAACTCGCCAATTCTACAAATAATATCTGTCACAATTTTAATTTAAATAAAAACAGCGCCGGTCAGACGCGCCAGTAGAATAAATTCCTTATAAAATGTCAGTAAAAGAAGTACTTGTCTTCTCTAACACAAATCATCCACTCGTAGATCAATGAGTGGCGTTACTCATGCAATTTACCGGCTATTTTTATCAATTGTTACTTTATACTAAAGACAAGAGACTCAGCTCGTCAAGTTACCGAATGAAAGAAAAAAAAAAAAAATAAAAAATTACTGTATTTGGTGATACAACGCATTTGTACGATTTGAGTATAAAGTAAGAAGCATTAGTTGCATGTTGAAATTAAATTCGTAAATTGTCTGAACACTAAAACGAATTTGTAGCGATACTATGTGATTACATTATCGCCTACCATCAGATATTGTATTACAATCGTGTAGATTATTACTGCTCTGAGTAATATTCGTGCATAAAAAATAATCATGTACATGTACCTCGATAATAGGATAAATTGGTGACGGAATTATATCTTGTGTGTGTTGGTTGGTTTATTTATTGGTAGATAAACAAAACCAGAGTTTCTGATAACTGATAAGCATGAGATGATAGTTGAGCTGCACCCGCGAGTTCCAATACAATATACAAGCTTAATGTCGATTTTTGGTCGCGCGACCGATTCACGCAGCCTTCGTGTTGATAACGACACGCGATTATTCAGATACCTTATTGCCTATTCCAATGAATTGTTTATTATGTACTGTATTATGTACATTATGTATTCTTCGTACGGTATTATAGAGCATTAATCTATGTGCTTATATTAGCTTTCGAACAATATTGCTTGCATATACATCGCATTGGCCACATACTCGCGAGATTGCGCGATGCAACGAAATGACGGTTGTAGTCAAGGCCTTGTTGATGGGGCACAAAACGCGAGAAAATGGCCCTAACTCATGCGATTTAAATTTTTATTTACTTTTTTCTTTTTAAATTCAAATCTTACTGCTCCACAAATCCAGTGGCTTCTTATATGCATGCTTGCTTTTTAGATAACTGGGTATCGATTTATAGGAATAATAATTTATTTTATTTATTCTTCTATTTGACCTTTGAAAATATTTTACTGTTTCCTTTTTACAGAAATTTCTTTTTTGGATTTTTTTTTTTTTAATATTAAATATTACTTTTTTAAAATTATTTTTTTAACGAAAAGCCGAAAATTTTTTCTTGAATTTGACTGAAAATTTTTAAATATTTTTTAATACAAGGGATCATGTTTACGTAAAAATTCAAAAAAACAAATATGGTAAAACGAAGATTAGTTGTTGGATTTAATTGTAATATAATTATCGTCTAAAAAGTGTCAATAATAATTTTTAAATTTTATTTTGAAAATAAAAATTGATTATGTTCAAATTAATATTAATTTTTCTAAATTATAAGTACTCCCAGGTGGAAAAATATTATAATGTCATTATAATGTATTATAATGTCATTATAATGCGTGTAAAAAATATTTATTTTTCCAAAATTTCTTATAAAAAATTTAAACAATACCAAAAACTCTGCTTTAAGATAATTAGGTTTGAGCTGGAAACAGTCAAAACCAGAAAGGTGTATGGTGTATTATGATAACTTCATAATAAAATTTTAGGAAAGATTGGAACCTCAACACCAGGTTTTTTTTTTATAAAATAGAATATTTATTTGTCATAAATTAACCGATAGTTGTATAAGACGAAATGATAACCTAACATATTAAAGTTAACTTCGTAAAGTTAATGGTAAAAGCAAGCAAACAAAATCTTTTTTAGAAGTGGTTTTTTTAGAATAACTTTTAAACGGCTCTATCGATCGATTCCAAAAACTAATCAGCTTTCAACCTTGAAAAACCACGTCGATCACCGCCAATCCGGTCAAAATCGGTTGATTCGTTTGAGAGATATCGTGAACGAAAGAAAACCGAAAAAAATGTTTTTTCGGAGTTACTCTGAAATTTCTAGTTTGGCCAATTGAAATTTAGAAATTCTTTATGAGGCTTAAAAAACTGCGTAGAATACCGCCAACTGTGTAAAAATCGGTTCATTCATTCAAAAGATATTGCGGTTTGAAAATTCAAAAAATAGTGTTCTATGAAACTTCTATCAGACTTTTGAGCTAAAAGAGCGCAAAAGCACAGAAAAGGTATCTTTTTAAGCTTGGAGAGCTCAAAATAACACCCAGATTATATTTTTAAGCTCGAAGAGCTCAAAAAAAAGGCCATGTATTATCGGAATTAGCGGGAAGTTGTAGAGATGGCCTTTAAGGTCAACCGTTTGCCTAATTTTTTTGTGAAATTTGTGTAAACCTCTTTTGATTTAATCGTTTAAGTAAAGCTTATGGAAAAAACGTTTTAGTGCTGAGTTCCTGATCCTTCAGAAAATTTTATTTTAAAGTTATCAATTGACCTCTCTCGCTATGACTGTTTCCAGCTCAAACCTAATTATCTTAAAGCAGAGTTTTTGGTATTTTTTAGATTTTTTTTGAGAAATTTTGGAAAAATAAATATTTTTTACACGTATTATAATGACATTATAATACATTATAATGACATTATAATGCATTATAATGACATTATAATTACATTATAATACATTATAATGACATTATAATGGGCAAATCATTATAATGACATTATAATACTTTTCCACCTGGGCTTTAAATAATTTATTATGTTATTAAACAATATTAATAAATTTAAAACCTCGATTGAAATAAAATGTTAAAAAATTTTTTAAGCAATAATGCAGTAACAAAATAATTTTCTAAAGAAATATTTCTCGTGTACATTTATTTTATTTTAATTTTTTTTTTCTAAAAAATAAACTTTATTGAAGTTCTTAAAGTATTGATATAACAATAAAACTTTTAAAACGAAAGTCAGAGAGACAAAAATTTCAAGCTTAACTTATTTGTGAATAATTGAGCAGATTTATTTACCTTTCTCTCTTCAATGCGATTGAGTTGTTTGCTTTCAAAATCCTGCCGTAATTTAGCCATCAGCCTGAGCATATACTTACGATCAGTCAACCGAACAACATTGCTTCCCATCAACAACTCCAGGCGAGACCTAACTTGTGGGCTGCTGAAGCTATGTAACAAATAATAAACAACGATTAAAAAAATGCAAAAATCGATTAACAATTACATATAAAAAAAATAAACATTAACAATTAACATAAAAACACAAAGCACACATTTTTTTGCACACTACTAAAGTATTATACGTATTTATATGTTTATATTATCAATAGTCTTGATCGGATGAACTACCAAGCTTGACTGAATCGTATAAGGGTCGGATATAAATCCACCGAAAACAACGTTTCGTGACTGACGTTATAGTTTATACCAAGACATCACAACTTCTTGAAGGGATTTCTGGAGCGAGCGAGAGTCAATAATTTATATTTATAATTTTCAATGTACATTTTTAATGACAAAAAAGTGAGAGCTTTGAAAATTTTGAGGTACGCATAAGTCGCGGGAGTGTTAAATCTAAAGTTTAATTGCTTTAAGTTGCGAATTAAACGCTCAAACAACAATTTATTGAGATTAACTTGTGTTAAATGAAGTAATTACCCGTCGGGTACGTCAAATAAGATTAAACATGTGGGTATGATATTTTTATTCGTTAGTTTTGTGTTTTTTAAATTTTCGATTAACAACTTTCAAGTATGAAAGATAATTAAAGTTAGTGATTGGATGTCAGGTGAAGTTCATCGTTCAATAAAATAGTGAACTGGGTTGTTTGTTTAATTGACGTTAAAAATTTATCACATGTCGATGACAGAAATTATTTGAGTGGACAGGAAATTAATATATTTTTTCCAATTAAAAAATGTTAAAAATTAATTTTCACGTCAATGCATCACATTTTTTTTTAAATTTTTAGTTGAATAAATAATTTATTTTTTAACGAGTCGCGGAACATTTTAATAGCCATATTTTTTATTCTCTTTTAATGATAAATTATGCCATTATTTTCAATTAATTATTTATCGAGTAATTGGATTATTTTAATTGTCTTAAAATAAAAGAAGGACCACTGATAATTTAAAGCGTACCACCAGGTCAGACATAGAAAGTCGTGTAAATCGACCATGATGCAAACGTTGATATGAACTCCGTAAAACTGAATTTTTTATTTGCGTTTACTCCAACAGTCATGTAAGGCCTTATACAAAATACTGCTCGACAAATATCAGCAATGACAATAGTAACAACTGGAAAAAGTCGTATCGGGCTTACAAAAGTAATAAAAAAAAATTGAAAAAACTAAACGGAGAATTTGTAGGATTTCTGATGTAGTTGTAGTAATAGTTGGGGTGAGGGTGGTGGTAAACTAGGTGGAACCAACTGAGGAGAGGCACGATGTCTCTCACTGCATTCCTTTGCGAGTGTGACAAAATATAAAAATATGTATACTGATATTAGGTATCAAGTTGTTGTGTAGAAAGATCAAAACGGGAGCATGGGATCACGATTTATTTTTTTTTAAATAGATTTAATACAAAAAATCAAACTTTTCATTGTTTAATAAACTTTATAAGCTGTTAATAAATTATTCTTTAATATTAGATGACCTACTAAATATTTAGAAACAGTTAATAAATCATTTGTTAATTGCAATTAATAAATATTTGTTTGTACTCTTGAACAAAAAGTGAGTATAACAATTTTACGTTAATACTTTCTATATAGCACAAAATTAAGATTCAAAACGGGCAATTTTTATTCTTTGTGCATTACACATAATAATGTACTTGCAAAATATATGAATTGATAAGATCTTTGAATGTTATAATTTAAAATAAATTATTCCTTCTTTACTCTTCATCAGCAATTCTCTCTTCTTTGGAGAAACACTTTCTGTAACCCAATAACTTCAATAGAAGCTTCAATTAGGTCAAGTATATTAATAATTTTCTTGTAAAAATATAGAGAAAGTAAAATTAATTTTAAAACAGTGGTTGTAATAAATTACAAAATTGTTTTCTTTTTCTAACAGTATAATAAAATTTCAGAGAGACAAGCTTTTTGTAAATGTAATAAAACCTTGAATGAGATTCAATCAATGATAATTATCGAAAATTTGACGTACTAATAAAATTAAATTCAAGGTTCATGTTATATAAAAAGTTATGTAATTTGAATTCCTTGAAATTTGTGATAATTGGACAGTTGAATTGTCCCTGTAGTGAAGTTATTGAAGTTTCATAACGAGAGAAGTATTTTAATTAACAATTAAATTTTATTCAATTTGGAAAAATCGAAAAATTTTAAATATATCTGAATAGAATCAAGGATACTGTTAATGATTAATTAAGAAAATATGTAAAAATGCAGCTATTTCTACAAAGCTAAATAACTAAATGGATGCACTTAATTTATGTAAATTAGTTTATGTGAAAAGTGCATGGCGGCCGTAAACTATAAATGGCAAGTGGATATAGGTGTAGATGTAGAGCCACAAGCTGCGGGGTATGATAGAGGGTAAGTGCCATGGGGAATTGAATATCGATTCCACGTGCCGTATCCTACGTATCCTAGTAATGACGATAGTTACTTTCATTTAGTGGCATTACATGCGGAAGGGAATGGCACCTGTGGAATATGTGCGTAGTACTATGTATCTTCCTCGTAAAGTACGTCACAAATTTCATTTCTTCGCATGCCTTACCTTCGCTTTATGACTTCAGAACGTGGGAGTCCAAGTTAAAATTCTCTTTTTGTTTTATATTTCATAAATATTAGACTAGCAGAACTTGCCCGCTTCGCCAACAATGAAAAGTTGACAGGCATTGTGTAAGTTGTATATTTATATATCATTATACAAAACTTTTTTCGTAATAGTCCGAAAATATCATTAGCAAGTGATTTTTTTTAATTGATTGAATGTGAAGTAAAAAGTATAAACATTTTTATTTTTAACTTTCGTTCATTGAATATTCGATTTGTAAAGTCAAGATACAATTGTTTTTTTTTTTTTTTACAAAAAAATTTAAAACAGTATAACATTATACGAAAATAAATTTACTCTTAATAGATGATAATGAGAACATTTTGAATAAATCGTAGTTTATATTTCGAGATTATAATTCCTGATATTATTATTATTATTATTATTATGACACTCAACAAGTGAAACACTCAACGCATATAGATACATTATTTTAATATGAAATAAATATACTAGCCTTTGAATTTCTAATGATTCCATTGATATTGTTATTATCATTGTTATATTCAAGTTCATATATATTTAAAGATCAATACCGTTTTTATTTACGTTTATATTCTAATTATCTATCATCATTTGGTATTATATTTTTTTGTAATTAGAGTTTCTCATGGAGCCCATGTACGCAGGTGTTCTTGTAATTTGTAATAAACTGTTACTATTCATGAGGGCGTTCAACTTGCAGAATCATCCATATCACAGAAAAATTAAAACAATCATTAAAAGTTAATTTTAATGAAAATTTACTGAGATATTTTTTGTTTTATTGCTATTATTTTTTTATTATATTTAAACTACTTTGATAAGCTTACGTATAATATGAACGCCTAGGTTAAGGCATGCATTTGGACTTATCAAAGTTTTTTTACGTGTTTTATAAAAAGGTAAAACGAGAGAGACAATAAGATTATTGTCATGTTAAAAATTTGTAAAAAATCCCATGATAAAATATCACATTAGGTGTAAAAGATATTCACCCCCGCAAACTGAAACTTTCCCGTCTGTATCATTTGATCTATAAATATATTATTACAGCGTGTGGTATGGTCAGTGGTGAAAGAAATAATAAAGTAAACTATAAATACCGTAAGTCAATCAACTATAAGTCTGTAGGAATCTTTTTTTATCTCTGTAATCTTCATAAAAAATACCGCTGGGGATAGGAAGGAAGCGCCGTGATTTATGAATAATTAAAGATCAATGAACTAATAATAAGTGACAAAGTGGATCTTAAGATTTGAAAAAGCAATTCAACTTTTCGTGTTAATATTCACTGCGAAATTTATCGAACTCGTTATAATTAATATTTATTTATTTATTTATTGCTTTCGTTTGAAGGAAGTATTTTTTGATCAATAGAATAGAACTGTTGGGGATAATGTGTATTACGTCTGCGATCCTATCCAGAGAAGCTGGGAAGTAAAGCGAAGTTGAGTGGGCGGGAGGTCAATTTACCGAAAAAGCAAGCTGACATTTACTGGATTTTCACTGTACGGACTAGACGTGAAATTTTTATGTTTCAATGCTACTAGTATTAACCTGGATTATGTGCTTTTTATGTCATGAAAATTATCACTTTTAATTTAGCCTACGAATTTTATTTTATTTATTACTTCCCAATAAATTTTCTAACATAAAATTTTTATTACGATTGATTTTTTGTTACAAATAAATTATTGATGTATTTTTGTCAATAAAGAAAATTATCCATCGATCAATTTCGGGGTTTGATTTTATTTACGTAAATACAAACACAAAGACTAATACTTACCCTTCCTCGGTTGCCGAACTGTAATGAAATTTCTATTATTACGATTATTATCAGGGAGTGAATGATCTGGAAGGACAGAGATAAATTTTCGGGGAGTTAAATTCTCCGTATGAATATTCCATGAATGAATATTGTATATTTGAATATTTTTCGTGCACCATTACTCATCTGGAAGTCATTGACTGCGGAGGAAGGTTTTATGTGAAAAATTTTGTGAGACCGAGTTAAGTGTTTAGTTACTTTTTGCTACACCGGAAGACAATGACCTCAGTCACTCAACTCATTTCACCAGGACAGAGGAAATGATAAATTTAGCTGAATATATTTGTCATCTCAAGATAACTAGAGGAAAGGGAAACCCTTTTTTTTTGTGTAGGTTCTATTCGGTAAAGTAGATTTTTTGCGCGATAGATGTCTGACTAAACAGCCGATGTTTCCACTTAATATTTTTTTTCGTCTACCAAAATTTTTATTGTACCTTCAATGATACTTTTTGATATTTATCAAAAATTAATTGTATTATTTTATTAGTAAACAATAAACTACAAAAATTTTTTAATAAAAAATTTTTTTTTTTTTATTTAATTCAGTTAAAAAAAAGTTATTTACAGTACTGGATTTTTTTTTACTATAAAATTATTTTTTTTTTGTCAACTATTTATTAATTAATTTATTTATTTATTGATCATGTAAAAATTATTTAATTTGTCAATTATTTATTTCATCAAATAAATTCATTAAAAAAAAAAAATTTGATTTTACAATTGATTTTTCCATGATCTATCATTAGAAAAAATCAAAAAGTTATTATCAAAAAAAAAACTACCTGCATTCAATCAAAGATCCGTAATCAAGACTACTAGTATCATCACTAAAATTCGATTTATTTTCCTGTTTTCTTCTGGCCCGTTCGCGCTGCTGCTTGACTTTATGAGCCATCGTGTCCAACCACTCTTCAATATCATCATTAAATGGACTAACAGTTCCACTGTCTTTTATATCGCTCACGAGCAGTTCAACAGTCGCCCAAAACCCCTCTCCGAAAGTTTGATTCATTTTTCCGGCAGAAAAAAATTTATTTCACTAAAATTTTCACCACATTCTAAAAACTAAACAACAATAATAATAATAATAATAATAATAATAATAACAATAATCATAGAACCGATAAAAATGATCCGAATTAGAGTAATTAAATTAAAATTCAATTCCAGAGGGAATAATGACGAGTACAGTGAATGAGAAGCACGAGAGTGAGCTTACGAGTAAGACAACAAGTTTTGAAATTTCGTTGAACTGGTTCGACTATTACCACTACAACAGCAAGCCCCTGACTCACAAACAATCACACCCACAACAAAGCAATCAGAAGTGAGACTTTAGAAACAGGTAACTCCCTCGACAGGCAATTCACAGCAATGAGCCTACAATCTAGTCACTAAACTACCACTACAACTACAGCTACAACTATTACTCTCGCTGTCACGCACATATACGTGTAGATAAATAAGAAGATGGGTGGATATAATAGTCACTATATCACTAATGGTATAGATGTGATACAGACAAAGAAGACTCGACATGACAACCGGTCACGGCACGCGATTCTGCTTGTCATTTTGCACAATCTCTGCGTGCTCAAATATATCTATGCTGTGAATTACTATTTTCTTATTCAGATGTATAATCGATATACGTAGATTTATATTCGTATAAAAGTGGTTGAATAACACCTGAGTCGGTTTAGAATCGCGTGGTAAAATTTCAAATTTCGATACCACAAGACGGGCCATAGCAATATTTTTTTTATAACAAATGTTTCTTTGCCACGGTTATTTCAAAAAGTTTGAATAGAAGAGCAGTATTCAAAAACTACAATATACGCTATATTTATCGTTTTTTTTTTGGTCTTAAGGTAGTACTACCGGTTTTAGAATTGACGTTCAGAATTTAATTAAATTTGGCATATTGGTACATTATAATATCATAATTGAGCAGTAAAATTTTTGAAAGCCAAGCAAGTCTTGAAAAAAAGATATTAATATCTACATATTTTTGCTTTTACCATTGATCCTTATGGAGAATCACAGACTTAATTTTATTTCACAAAACTGGACGTTCAGATTCTTATAAAAATCAAGACAACGAGAGAAAATAATATCTAGAACATATTTAATAACAATCAGTATGGTTTCCAAGAATATAAGAATATTTATTAATAAAAAACATTCAAAATTTATCTCTGTCTCTCTTTCTCTAACGTGATTTAGTATATAGGGAAATCTACTACATTAATCAAATAAGGTTAGGTTTTGGGATTTGACTCTTGTGGTAACGGTAGTACTACCTTAAGATAAGAAACTTATTATTATTGTGCATACTGATGAAAGGATTTTAAAATAATTTTAATAAACTTCATTAATTGTTAATAAATGATATTTTAACGTTAGATGATTCGATAAATTCATATACCAGTTAGTTCAAAAAGTCTCCGCTAGGTGGCTACAATTCTCGTATTTAGAATTCTAATAATTGGGAATTTAAGTTCAATAAAAAATTTTCAGAGGTCCAAGGCTCGAATCCTAGTTAAAGTAATTTTTTTTTTATGCACTGATTAAAAAATCAATGGATATAAGAAACATTTATTTTTTAAACTTTGTTCAAGGAAAAAAATTTCCTGACAAATTTTGAAGCTGAAATAATTAAAACTTAATTTTCTGCATCCAGTTTTAACAGAAAAAGTCTCTTGATTTAAAAATTCTGTAAGAAAAATGATTTTTTATTAATTTTATTATCGAATAAAAAACTAATTAATTAATGCGAAATAAAATCAAAGTGATGGACATACAAGTGTTTTATTAAATGAACGTAAATAGTCTAAATTACTCAAACGTAAGAACTTAAGGAAGTCCTTAAGACACTTAAGAACGCGAGTTCCTTGGAATAAAAACGTTCGCGTGATTAATTTAAAGCCAACAAACTTAAAAATGTGCATTTTGTATAATATAGGCTACAGTAGTGAATAAGTGAAGTATTGTCGGGAAAATCCGAGTATAGGTAGGATATCATCGATTCACAGAGTGGAGGTATGAATAATATTCCGTGCAAGCTCAACTCCTACTCGCGCCTCTTCACTCGTACTTTCCGTTTTCGTCTGTGATGTCGTAGTTGTAGTCGCCTCATACTCTATATTTATCGTTTACACTTAACTCGTGAATGCAGCCAGTAGTACAGTACAGCACGAGAGAATTAAACTCCTAATAGTTAATAGTATGACTTGAAGCTTAAGCTCTCATGCATATCTATATCTAGATCTTATACATAAATAAAAGCCTTCCGTGACCGTGATATCTCGGCAATTTTCTGCCTACTGATTGGCGTGTTCAAAAATTAATCACACTAAATTTTTAAATCACAGATAAACTTTAATACTCTGTAATAATTTTCATAACTTGTAGTGATACTTCAATTCAATTAACTTCATCATCACTTAATAAAGTACATTCAATTTTCAAAGAATAACTTCTTTAAATGCAACTCACGGTAATTTTTTATTTAAATTTTTTTATTCACTTACGCATATTTAATAGGTTTTTTCTCCCACCACCTCAGAGGTCTGTCGTATAAATCAACACTCGAACTGAATATAGATTTATTTTTTTTCTGCGCTGTAAATTCAAGCTCTGACATTTTGTAAAAAACGCAATAATGACTGTTGAAAGTTTTAAGTTTAAATATTAGAAATATAGGATAAGTTTTTAATTAAACAGAAATTTATCTAATAAACAAACAAATAAATTGCCGAGGAAAATGGGATTGGTATATAAATAAACGAAACAATAAATAATAAAAAAATTGACGTGTCAGATGTTTTTTTTTTTTTTTTTTTTTTTTTTTTTAAAGAAGCAGCTTAAATTAATTAATAGATCGAAAAATTAATAAATTTTGGCTGGTGAATAATTGAATTAGAGATTCGTGACTTTGTAGACATTAACATTGATGTCCGCCAGCTGAGAGGGATTATCTTGGCTCCTGGAGATGAATTTTTTCCATTCGTCGAAGTCGAGCTTTCCTCGAGGTCCCCACTCGGGAGTCGGACTTATGCCGGCCTCGAATCTTTCTTTGAAGGTTCCCTAATTACAGGAAATAATTAAACAGTTTAATTCAGCAGAAATATTCACTTTGATCTAAGCTAGTACCGAACTAATTTATAACTCATAACTTTTTAATCGATTTAATCTATGTATGTATGTATGCGCTAATTTTGTAACTAATTACAAAATCATCGATCGAAAATTGATCCAGCGGGAACTAGTGAATTTTTGAATTAAAAAGTTATAGATACCTTGGCGGTGATGAAATGATAAATTGCGTATCCGGGGATGCAGAGCATGCTGGCCATACAAGAGCACCACCCGATATAAACTGCCCATTCTGGATACGGGACGCCGCGGTACGTGATTCGGGTGTTGAATATTATCGTCGTTGCGAAAATGAACTAGAAATAAAAATAAAATCTGTGATATTGTTTTGTAATGAGGGTTTCAGGTGACGAGTCTCGGTTTATTGCTCAAATTTCATTACAATGTTAGGTTAGATTGATTTTTGTTTATAAGTCTCGGATCACATGCCTCGAGTCGGCAATCAGGGAATTAATACTTCTTTATTATATATTGACTTACAGATAAAATTATTGGCGTGACATATTTCCACGCAAAAGGCCACCAGGGATGTATTTTTTTACCCAGCATAAATTCGAGATCTCGGACGAAGTTGTCGCAGCCTGATGAAGGAAATAAACTTCAATTAATATTTTATACTAAGGTAATAAAAAATGGCATTCGTTAAAAAGTTATGAAATTGAAAAAAATATTAATTTATATATTCATATTACCGTAGATCCATCCGACGATTATTACTTCAGCGAGACAAATAGATATTACGGAAATTGAAGCTGCATACCAATCAAACACTTGCAGCAGATACATTCCACCCTGAAAAATTGATTTATAAAATAAAAGTTACTAATAAAATATTTTTATTACTTTCTTGTTTTATAAAAATTAAAAATTTACATTTGTAACAAACATGATAGATCCGAGGAACAAAATAAATAATGATGTCATGGTAACTAAGAGTTTGTGTTTTTGGCATTTTGGATAAGCGTCTGTGATACTCGATATGATGGCTTCAATTTGTACAAACTGAAAATTTAGAAAAATTATTAGTCAAGATATAATAGTATAATTTTGTCTATAAAAATTACATTATTTATTACTTTAAAAATTTATTTTCTTACACAACTGTCCATCCCGAGGAAATACAGCATCGAGAAAAACAATATCGACCAAAACTGCGGGATCGGCAGCATTGTTAAAGCTTCTGGGTAAGTTTCGAACGCTAGAGAAGGACCACCTGTAGCGACTTCTTGGATCGGAAGACCTGTACTGTAAGACATGAACCCTAGCACGGAAAAGACGACAAAACCCGCGAAAATACTCGTACCACAGTTCAAAATCGGAATCCAAACGGAATCGCTAGAATGTCAATAATATTTTTTTATAAATTCATTTAATTTTTGCGAAAATAGTTGATTATTCACTTACTAACGATTATCGTTCTTGAACTTGTTGTAACTAGCCATATTGACAATTCCGCCCCATCCTGGGCCAAGAGAAAAAAATATTTGTATTGCAGCATCTGCCCAAACCTGTAAAAAAATTTTTTTTATTGTATTAAATAAATTGAAATTTAAAAATGACAATATTTACTATAAATATCTAATTGGAATTAATTTTACTCTTAAGTTTGTCAGCTCCGACCATTTAGGCATGATGTAAAACAGTATTCCATCCATCGCTCCGGGTAGTGTGACACCTCTTACTAGCAGAATGAATAAAATTATAAAAGGAAATGTTGCTGTAAAATAGACAACCTTTCCGACACTTTTTACACCATTACAGATACAGAGGAATACTATTATCCAGGACACGGCGTTGGCAGTAAATAGTGGCCAAACTATTCCACCCATTTCGTGGACTCCTGATGATATTTGAAGTATGTGTAAGCTAAAAATAATTGTAAGTTAAATATTTTATTAACATATTAATTAAAAAAAATCTTTTAAAAATTTACTTAAAAAACTCTTCAGCTGGAGTTTTGACTTTTTTTAATATCCCGGTAATTTTTGATGTATTCCTAAATTGAGCATCGTTGATCTATAAATAAATTTCTATAATTTAATTGTCTAAGTAATACAAAAACAAATTTATTAGGATTATAGATCCTTGACTAAAAAATTTCAAAAACTTATTCGTGAAAAAAAGTAACACATTTTTGATCCCTAAAGTTGAAGTATTTATCAAAAACAGAAATTTTAAATAAATTTTATTTTAAAGATCTATAGTCCTTGAGTAAAAAAACAGAGCTCACCCAAACGCGCTGCGTTTAAGGATCGCTTTATTGTCTATAAAAAAATTAAAAGAATACTTTTATGCAATTGGGCGTGTTCCAAGGATTATCACAATCTTCCCAAGGCAGTTTACTCCTTAAAGACATTATCAAAAACATTATTGGGTAGGCTATAACAACATTGTAGTACATTGTGCATATAACATTAACAATAACAACAGCAAACCCTGCTCCTGTATTTTTAAAAAATAAATTAATTAAATTAATTTGGGAAATTAATTGCTATAATTTTTATTGCTGCGGTTTTACCTTTGAAAATCGGGCTGATACGAAAAACAGTGATACAACCAGTTCCCGCGAATTGTCCTAAGGACGACTCCATGAAGAACAGGGGTATTCCGCATGTGAAGAGCATCAGTAAGTAGGGCACAAGAAAGGCACCTAAGGGGAATTATAATCAGTTACAGCCTTGATCTCAATTGGGCAATTTTAAATCTAAAAATACTTATACGACACTATCTTTATTATTGTCCAGTGTTTTTTTATTGTTATTATTGTGGAGCAAAAACAATGAGATACTCCAAGTGGAGACCAAAAATAAAACAGTGTAGATTATTTAATAAAATAAATAAATCACATCTAATAATATCTCCCTAACTGAACAGGAAATCATTTTCTGGGCATAATAATGAAAACAATAATAATAATAATAATAATAATAATAATAATAAATACATCCTATGAACGGGAGACTCGTTACTTTCACCACGTTGTTATTAATATTTAGCTTGACGTGACAAGATACACAGTAAAAAATTTTTCGTCAAATTTAACACAAAAGTTTGTGTTGATGACTTTTTTTATACAATTTGTGTTGAATCAACACTCTATTGTGCTGAATCAACATACTCAAATGTTAAATTCTACACAAACATTTTTACACTTTACACAATGACGAAAAATTTTTTACTGTGTAAATATAGATTCTATTGAAAAATTAACATGGTTTAATTTAAATAATTTTGTTATTGTTGATTTTTTTGTACGTGAAATAAATTTCAATAAATTAAATTTGATTTCGTCAAAAATAGTATCACATTAATTTAAATACAGTGGGGGATAATCCTGACGATTCGCATAATAATAATAACGTATAAATATTCCGACATTTATTTTACATAATCGTAATTCAGCGATGACAGGTTTAAGAAAAAAAATTTTTTTACCCGGGAAAAAAAATTTCAAGTTTAAATTATTTGTAACTAAAAATTACAACTTACCTCCACCGTTGCGATAACAGAGATACGGAAACCTCCAAACATTTCCTAGACCAATCGCGTATCCAGCACACGAGAGTAGAAATTCGGTTTTACTCGCCCACGTGCCGCGGTTTAGGGTCTTCTTGTTGTCTTCACGCACTTGAACGTCATCTTTCGCCATTTTCAATACAAATTAATGACTTAAAAAATACTATGTTACAAAATTAGACTACCACTACTGTTTGAAATCGAAGGCGAAGAAGTTGTTATTCACTGAAGTCATTTCAAAATCCTTGCAAGTAATTTCAAGAAAAAGCTAATTTTATTACTGAGATAAATTTTCAGAGGAACAACATAGATTGAGACATTACTGTGGAAGAGAAATAACTAAATGAATCTTGACAACTGACACGACTGACAATGCTCTTTGTAATATGAATCTCAAACAGTAAGTTCCTCAAACACGTCCCCAGTTACAACTACGTACTACGTTACGCTGCATACTACATATATATGGCATTAAATAAAGAGTATGGAGAATTAACAGACAAATAGGATGTAATAACAACGGTTATTATGTTGATAGGCCCTACTACTGGTATGCTGGCTGAAAGATATTCTGATATGGATAAATTGATGCGATATGATTAGTGTAATTGGTGAAAAACTTTACGAGGGGACAATCTGCGATTAGTTTTATGTCTTTATTTCAATCTCAACTCGCTCTGATTTTATCTTTAATCATTTTCACAATCAGTCAATCTTAAGACTTAAAATAAACTTCCCAAAGCAATTTTACAATTAGTCAGAAATTTAAAGATTGAGCACTTAGTACTCTTTTTAATTTACTGACAAATGTAACTATGATGAGAGAATTTTTTGAACAACTGACGGCACACGTTACCCTGATAGCCAAACCGGTCGCAACTTTCCGTTGATTTGCTGCAGCAACTTGTCACCAAGTTGGCGGCAAGTCTTGGAAATGAACTCGGTTGTTCACCAAGTTGTCGGCAGAAATTGCTTTCGAAACTCTTTCGCACCAAGTTGACGACAAGTTTCTCGAGAAATTTGGCGACATATTGCGGCAGTAAATTGGTCTTTTTTTTCTCAGAAACTTGTAGCCAACTTGACGCCAACAGTTTCAAATTCAGAAGTTGACCGCAAGTTGTCGGTAAGTTGGTGGCAACTATCTGACACCAACTTGGTTGGTCTGAAACTGTAGCTATCAGGGTATTTTTGCATACTCTGCAGATATAATACAGACCCGGAAATCCTAGACTACCCTGATAGCCAGCGCTTTCTCAGTAAGCGTTGACTTCCAGCAGTTACGGTTAATTTATACATCAAGTTGGCGGTAATTCTTCACTCAACAACAGTTGTAAGCAAATTGACGGAAATCTATGGCCGCAACTTGAATACAAGTTAGCAATCAAACTTGTAGTTAAATTTCCTTTCAACTTTACTACAATTTGACGGAAATACTTGTACAGCAATTTTTGACGTCTATTTGGAGAGTAAGTTATAGGTAACTAATAGGTAATCGCTCGCTTTGCCAACTCTTTCCGTCAAGTTTGCTTCAAATTGCGGACGTAGATTGACAGTAAGTTATAGGTAAGGTGGCTATCAGGGTATCAGACGCTGAAACTTTATTCTGTAGGTTAAGACTGCTGCGCTCTTATCGACGGTGCCTCAACTCGGAAATTTTGTGATTTAATTTAGAAGAAATTATCGAGAACGGACTTTCGTCGGAGATCAGAGATGGCAGCTCTGTCTTAAAAAATTACACCGGCTTATTATTAATACTTATGTTCATATTTTATATTTATGAATCGAAGTTTATTGTATAGGAAACTTGAAAATAAGAAAATGTATATTTTAAAAATATATTGGATGTATGAGTCAGCGGACATAAAGCTTTGTCTATTTGTCATGAAGAAGGTAAAAGCAATCTAAAATATTCTGCACGGTGACCTTTCATCCGTAAAAGGACATACATAATAAAGAAGTGGAATGGCAAAGTGGTCTAAGCAGAGAAGAGTACTACTACTACTATCTACAACTACTACTACTACTATTACTATTTCTGTCAGCTGCTATTTGCTAGGATAGTGAGTGTATAAGGGATGTATTAATGTATCTCTTTCTCTCTTCGCCACCTAATATTGGCTATCCTCTCAGGACCACTCTGCAATTGCTCTAATGCATCTCCACTCGAACATTAGTAAGGGTGAAATACACTACGTCTGCTCCTCGTCTCAGCTACAGAAAACTCCCAGATTATGTTTGTAACACAGCTCGCATTCGAGATTTAGCTTAAGAATTCTAATATCCACGTTATTATTTATTCAGCTATTAGCTGTTGATTAATAATGATAGAATTCGGGGTAAATAATTTCGATTTTAATTTAAACAGAAAATTCTTTTTATTTTTTCTGAAATTTATCCAGCCAAACTTTTTTAAAAATGCTTAAGATCATTTTGAATATTAAAATTTTTTTCCAATAAAATATTTGTTCTTGTTATTTAAATGATAGTGGGAGAATTTTTGATATGTTGATAAAATTAATTTTTTACTTTTTTACAATCGTCAATTTTTTATAGGAAAAAAATAAAAAATTATGTGACCTATTATACTTATGAGTACACAGAAAAAAAAATAATTAGCTATAGAATAAATTTTTATGATTTGAGGAAATATATAAAACAAAAGTTTATTTAAATAAAATTTCTTCTTGCTCCGAAACGACGTTAGTTTTCCTCAAAATTTTCTTGATTCAAATAAACTTTTTTTCTGTGTCAATTTTTTTTTTGTAAAAAAAAAATTATGTTCAAAATAAAGTTTTATCTTAAAGTAATAGATCCTACTTAACTCTAATTTTTTATACTAATAACTACAAACTATGATATATCAACTATGATATATCCGGTCTATCAACATTCAACAATTTAAAAAAAAATGAAAAATTATAATCATCTATAAAAAAATTCATTATTTCTCAAGTATTCGTTAAAAATAAAAACATACTTTAAAAATGATCTTGATGTGTTATTGTATTATGAAAAATATAGAAATAAAATTTTATGTTGATATTACTTGAGAGATAGCTTGTTAAAAAGCGATTAAAGGATTTGAAGCTTATATAAATATTATTATAGAGAATTATTGTAGTAGTAATAATTCAAAACCTTTTACCAGTAAATCCTATTAATTATTTTTCAATATTGAACGATTAAACAATGATTTTATATTATTAACAGTGCAGAGATTTGATTCATACTAAGCAAAGATAATTATAATTATGATTATATATATATTAATGAATAACTTTGGTGGCCGGTAATAAATGAAGATGATGATTTATTTAGCAAATGCTTTGTGTCACACACGCTGGTATAAGTAATGATAAAATACGACGTTAACGCAGCACAATCCATCAACATCAGCGAGAGCATGTTGCGTGGGACAGAGACTACAGTTATGTGTGTACACATTGGGCTACGTATCATAATTATGAAATGCATTCGAGTCCTACATATCATCTGTCGAGACATTCTTCAGTGTCTTTTTCAATTAACGCTGGCTCCGCTATTTTATATTAATCGGAAAATCCCACGTCATTATTTATAAATTTACTCATTGCATTTTTCATTCGCTTATTTTTGCTTGCGAAAAATAAAATAATCAGTTTTTAATTTTGCATTATATTCAATAGGACAAATTACAAAAAAGTCTTCTTTATAAATTATAATCCGAGCTCTTGAATACTTAAATATTTATGATTAATCGAAAATAAATTTCACGTTTAAAAGCTCAGTCACTTAAAAATAAATGAAATTTACGATTGAATATTCTAGAATAATTCAATCGGTTATTTGAGTATTAAAAATGGAATTATCTTGTGAAAGTTTAATGAAATCTAAAATTGCAAGCGGTTAAATTTTTTTTTGACCATTCGATCGAGTGTTCTGGTACTATAATAGCAGTCCCGAGAATACCGTGACAAAATTCACTTTAAATAAAAAATTGATATCTATTTTCATAAATTAATTAATAGATATCAGGTTAATCAGACCACAAACGCAATGTTGACAATTACTTCACACTTTATTGCAACGTTTCGTCGAAAATCTCGACTTCTTCAGGCAATCTACAAAAACATACAATACATTAATAATTTTTTTCCGTCACAATTACAAATTGTCAAAACATATCAGTCATAAATATTATTTTTTTATATGAAATAGATATAAAATATAAATTACAATTCAAATTTCAAAATTACATAAATGTTATTATAAAATTTTTTCCCATATACTTAGATAAAATAAATAAAACAAATTATAATTACATAACAAGATCATTAACATACCATGAGACAAGAGTATCAACACGTTGTTATTATAAAAAGGCCCTGCTGGAATCAGGTTAAGCATACGCATGCTTCTGATGTATCTTGCTACTTTCGTACTCATTCATAGTCATTTGATTTTCTTATTATTGTACTTATATAATTCCTTCTTAATTATTATTACTCAATTAATATGTGAAAAAATACCAATTAATAACAATAATATTGTACAATTTTAAACAACAAAATTATAAACAGCTGTACACTCTCAGTTGACACGACTGAACACACTCACACGCATGCGCAGATCTGCCGGCTTTAACCGCTTATTTACAATCTACAAATAATTATCCATACTCTCTATTTTTATTTTTATACCTCAAAATTAAATTGTCGTAAATGCAATTTAACCCTTCCGTGTCAGTTTTCAAATTAACAGTATCTCTCAAACTAATGTGAATCATTTCTAAGATGTTGCGTTTAAATCTATTCTTTTCTATGTCTACAATTTTTACGTCATCAAAACAAAACTGATGACCTGTATCCCGATGATGTAAAGACAAAGCTGTCAAATTATTTATGTTATTATTGCTATTATTATTATTCACATTATTTCTACAGCTATACTTATGCTGATAGAGCCTTTTACCTAAATAATGTTTCGTTTGACCAATGTACGATTTATTACAAACACACGGAATTTTATAAATTACATTCGAACGATTCAATAATTTATCAGTATCCTTAAGTCTAGTATAAGTCTGTCCAACAGTTTTGATATTATAAAATGCCGGCTTCCAATCCGTATCTGCAAAGCAATGCGTAATGGAAGATGATAAACGTCTAATATATGGAAACCGAAACCGATTTTCATTTTTCTTTACATTCTGATCCAGATCTACGACCACCTCTAAATTATCATCCTCACCATTACCCATCTCTCTGCTATATAAACTATTGAATTTCTCCATACATAACTTAATGAAAAATACCGGATAATTATTACGTTTCAGCAAATCCTCAACTCTTTTTCTGTTGACATCATGAAATTTCTTATGGCTTAGTCCTAATGCCCTATGCAACAGACCAAAAACTACACTGGATTTTTGAGCTACTGGGTGATGTGAATTATAATTAAGCATTCTACCTGCGCTTGTTGGCTTTTGGTACCAGTCAGTGATTAGACTACCATCAGGCTGTCTTATCACCAAAACATCTACAAACGCAATTCTGCCTCCCTCTTCTACCTCCAATGTGAACTGAATATCTCGATGATAGCTGTTGAAGTAGCCTAGGAGATTATTTTTCTCTGACACAGGTACTGCTAGAATCGTGTCATCCACGTAAAGACCCAACAACGAAACTGCGAACGGAAGATCCTTCACAACATTCTTCAATACATGTTGCATAACAAGGTTAGCAATTGAGGGGCTAGCAGGGTTACCCATTTATTTTATCTAAGTATATAGAAAAAAATTTTATAATAATATTTATGTAATTTTGAAATTTGAATTGTAATTTATATTTTATATCTATTTCATATAAAAGAATAATATTTATGACTGATATGTTTTGACAATTTGTAATTGTGACGGAAAAAAATTATTAATGTATTGTATGTTTTTGTAGATTGCCTGAAGAAGTCGAGATTTTCGACGAAACGTTGCAATAAAGTGTGAAGTAATTGTCAGCATTGCGTTTGTGGTCTGATTAACCTGATATCTATTAATTAATTAAAATAGCACTGGACCTGAATTTAACAATAATGGATATTTTCATAAATAGAACTAAACCTTCATCATTCCCAATGAAAATACTACTACTGAATATCATTCAATCAATATTAATTATAAATTAACTTTGATTCACCATAACCTCCATTTACTTTGCTGAAATAAATTCATTTTATAAATTAAACGCCGTCGAGTTCATTCGTTACGTCAATCAATAGAATATTTAAATGTAATCTCTTACTGTACATTCAAAAGAAAAAAAAACAGATTTTATTTTTTATTTAATTAAATTATACTCAATTATAAATTTAAAAAAATTATATTATTATCTCGGCAGCCAAATTAATTTGGTTCGTCATGTGATTTTTTAGCGTCGGAGTACATCCATTTAACCGACATTCAATTTACCCGGGCATATTTTTTATTTTTTGCGCTACTGATATATCCGTACACGATTTCCCCACAATGCCCACCCGGTAGAAATGCCATAGACCTCTGATTTACCCCAGAAGCTAGTCGATCACCAGCACCCGCCCCCGTCCCCCGAAGCTTCCCCACCGGAGGATATCGAGGGAGAAAAAGCAATTATCCAAAGACCGTTCTAATTAATTGCCAGGTTTTTATCGTTAAATTTATAAAAATTTACCTCGATCGCGACTACCCATTTATACTTTTTGAGAAGCTACCTCAATCCGGCTTGATTGATTGAAACAACCTTTTTCTCCCCGAACAAATTACTGACGCCCGATAAAAATTATCTGATGCATTGGAGAACTTTTTGGTATTGGTGTGGTGTAAATGATTTGCTAAAAAATTTTGAATGCTATGATTTGTGATTTTTAGAGTATGTGAATTTTTGACGGAATATTGAGAAGAAAAAAAAATTATTCAAAATTTTTTTACGGATTTTCAAATTTTTACAAAAAACCTTCTCATTGATTTCGTGATATTTTTTTTTTAGGCGAAATTTTGATTAAAAGCCGAAATTATAAACATGCGAAATTTCTTTTCATATGATAAATTACTTACAAATACTTCAAAAAATTAATGTCAAGTTTCAATTTAAAAACAGCAATTATATTTTTCAAAAAAATTTGACTTTTTGAAGCATTAAACCAAATTTTTGTAAAGGTTATTTTTTTTTTAATTTATCAAAAAATAATACTTATTGAAATAAAGAAATATGTTGATGGCATTTTTTCAAAATAATTTAATTTATTTATTACATCAATCTAAGAAAAAATATTAATTTTTAAATCTTTAAAAAAAAAACGATTTTTTTATTTTTATTCAATAAAAAAAATAAAGATTTCACTCCGTAGATTTTTTTTTATTACTAATATAAATAAAATATTTCTCTACAGATCACTTTGAAAATTTTTTACATCGTAAAAGAAAAAATGAGTAATTAATAATGAACGATGATTATTAACACCTCTGATAATAATGTATTTCGATAGTTTTAAATATCACACGGTATAGTCTGGGTATTGTGATGGCAAGAGACGATTGTTATCTCCCAGGACAACAGTCTCCGATAACACGAGCCCAGAAAGCATAATTACTGGGCTGTGCTCTGGAATAATTAGTGCAAGATAATTAAAGCGCAGCGAAAGATGAACGATATCGTCTGTCGCTCGTTAGCCGGCAGTTTTGATGTCTGTATTTCGTCCAAGCTTTCATCGCGGTTTCCTCGTTAATCACACGTTCAAACATATCACATCCGCGCCTCTCACTCCTCCCACTCTCGTATCACAAAATCAATTCTAAACGTAATTTCAACGAGCCGTAGATTCGATTTCAGTGTGCAGTGCAAGCTTCGGCAACCAAAGCTTCCGGGCTTTATTTTTGTCAATAACTATACTGATATCAACTTTGATAAACTAATTTTTGTTTGACCGTTTTATGTTTTTATGTAATTTCAACACTTTTGCAAAAGATTCATTTTTTTTAATTTTATTAATTATTTTAATTAAAAAAAAAAAAAGTGTCAATAATCGATTTTTTAACATTAAAAATGGTTTAATAAATATTGATTAACAATAAAAAAATATTTGTTAATTATTAAAAAAATATTTATTAAACATAATTCATTATTTTTTAATAAATATTTGTTTGAATCCTTGAATAAAAAGTGCGCATAAAAATTAAACTTTGACACTTTTTTTCTACCCTATAACTTCAATAGAAAATTTCATTAGATCAGGTACACTAATTAATTTTTATTATTCAAGATTATAGAGTTAATATACATAAATTTATTAAGAGTCAAAAAATTGTTGTATCAGTGTAGTGTGATCGATTACTCAAAGGTTCAATAAATATAAAATAGATGATAAAATGTTGACAGACATTTATAAGTCCTTGGGGTGGATAAAACTCACATATAAAACGGAGAAAAAAACGGAGTGATAAAATCAGCGGTTAGAATTTGTCTCATGAGTACAACGTAAATGATGGTAGTGAAGAATGAAAAGCCAAGTAGATTGCTCAGGGGGCGAAAGATCTGTATTTTTTAGCCGGATTCGGTAGATCGAATCTGGAATGATCCGATGAGACAATCTATCGACGGAGAACACAAGACAGGCGTGGTCGTTGCGCCCGTTTGCAAGAAACGTTCGTTCTGGCGAACGTAAAAAATAAAAAACAGCCCCACAGGACGTAGGACGTAGGACGTAGGACATCGGATTTTTTTTTATCGAGAACGAGAAGCCAAAAAACCGCGACAAGACTAACAAAAGTCCTCGGATAATGCGACTCGCCGAGGGAGATTGTGATGATGATTGGAGAGATAACGAGAGTGAGATAAAAAATTCCACCCCTTTTTATGGCTCCGGTGCCACGCGTTTCCTCTACTCTGTTCTCTCTGCGCCGGATTTCGAGTATTAACGGTCCTTTTATACACTTACTGTGCTTCTACTCCTCAGCTCTGTGCTCTTTCTATATCTGAACTTTTTGCTCCCATTCTGATACCAAAGAGGACTACGACTACTTTACGGTACTTTTCGTGATCCGACGACTTGCTGACGTCAAGAGCCGTTTCTCCACAGACAAAATTACCCGTTTGGAGCTTTCACCTATCTGGATAAATGCGCTGTGATCATCTGGCAAATGGGGATCCGATATGTGTACGCTTTCCTGTTAGAGGGGTAGCAGCTCCTGAAAATAAAAACACTAAAACTATCCTTGATTACTCCATAGATATGTTGGACTCTGTCATTTTATTTTATTATTATTGCCAGCGCTGATAATGCAAATCTTCCTTAATAATTCAATGGTAAAATTTTTATTATTGTGTTTTATTTATTTTTATTTCAAAATTTAGTTTTTTTTTTTTTTAATATCAATTATTTAATATATGTAATTTTTACTTAAAGTAGTTTTGTCTGCATAATTAAAATTAAAAATTCAGAGCATCTGATTGATAAAA